AGAATCAATCTCTAGATTTACTGGTTCGTAGAACCAATACCTTTTTTTGTACCCACCACGAAAAAAGATGGGGGTATATTGATTTTGTTATTCCATTTGTAACACATTGAAATATTGAAATATAACTGTTTTAAAAATGCGAGTATAGCCATGAAATTCGACATAAGTTTCATATGAACCAATTTTTATGAGGATCGGTCCATAATTGATCCTATCCCTCATATATGGTCTCCTCCAAAAAATTACATTACGGGCTTAAAAATACGAGTCTAACGTTGAAATTCGATATAAGTAAGTTTCTAACGAGCAAAAACCTATCTACCGAATTTTATGAGGATCGGTCCACAATTGACTCTACTCCCCATATATGGTCCTTCTCAAAAAATGACTTTAACGCTCACTTCTGGCTTGAAAATACGAGTATAGCGCTAAAATTCGACGCATAAGTTAGTTCCTTATGAACACAAATCTCTCTACCGAATTTTATAATTGAACCCCATGGAACACCCATATATGTATGTTCATGGTTTAAAAGTTGGACAAAACTAGTTTATTTTTAAATATTAATATTTTGTTAATGCGAAAGGGATTTGTACATAATTGACTCAAGTCCTATAATCCAAATATCAGCCAACCAAATAGGGGAGCATTCCATTTACGACATACGTATTGATGGTAGGTATATAAGATTCGTCATAGTCGAATATAAAACTCTTACTTGTTTTTATTGAAACAACGTAAAATCTTTGTGAAAACTATAAAATATTAAGCATTAAATATATGACTTATCAAAAATTGGTGTATTTTACTCAAACCCTTCCTAACTAAAAAAGTATGAATCTTTTCAAATTCCCATGGGTTCGAAGGACCCAATTTTATTATAAAATGCAAATTTTAAACATAAACTTAACATTTTCCCTGTGGGCATGTAGAATCGAAAAAAAACCGTTAAGGATTAATTTCCCTCTTTTTAAACCCCCATATTAACTAATGTTTTAAAATCTAACGGTTCGAAGGACCATTTTCTAGATAACAGTAATTTTCACAATTTCCCTGTTCACTGTATATACAACAACAAAAAACACAATACTAAAACAATGTAATCGATACGAGTACATTAATTTAATTTAAAAATTGAATTAATTACATAAACTCTGTATTTAATTAAAAAAAATGTTTTTTAAATACAAATTAATTTATGTTTGTGGAATATATTCATAAAGTTTTTTTTCTACACTGGTTTTTTTATTTGCAATTTTCTTTTTTTTTGCAATTAACTTATTATTTTAATATTTAAAACATAAATTTTCATTTTAATAATAATTAAAATACAACTTAAACCAGAAAAAAATAAAAATCGAACTCAACAACGGAACGGAAAGAAAGGAAAAAAACTGAAAATAACTGAAACGAGAAAAACGAGGGTAATTGGGATTTAGAGACTGGGTTAAACAGCACACACAAGGACACACACATTGAATTTAATGTCGATTCTTTTTTTTTATTTTGCACAGAAAAAAATCATATTATTTCTTTTTTTTTTTAATAATAATATAATGATAAAATCATAATATTAAATTATAATTAAGAGAGTAATAATAAAAAACACAAAACTGGACATGTACAATAAATCAGGAAAAATGAAATCATTTAAAAAAACAGGATTTAAAAAAACAAACAAAAATATTTATGAAATCATTATTAAAATTTTAAAAAATTAAATTATTTCTGAATAAAACACAACTTTCAATTTTTAATTAAAAACAAGTTGGCTTTAGGCGTGCAAATAAATTAAATAAAAATTATAATGTTTAGTTGTTTCTTTTTTTTACAGTTTTTAAATCAACGAAATTAAATGTAGATTTATTTTTGTTTTTATTTTAAACGATTTTTTTTTTCATCTTTGCAGAAAATAACAATTTCAAGTATAAAGATTAAAAACGTAACGGGGAAAAAAACAACAACTTTTGTTAACAGAATTTATAATTTACAATAATTAATTATTAATTATAACATTTGTATAATGAATATTAATTTTTATAAATTTAAATATGTTTTAAAAAGAAATTAACTCAGTTTAATGGTTGGTTGGTTTCTCTTCTTTCTTTTTTTCATCATTTTCCGTTTTAATCTTTTGTTAAAAAAACTAATTTTCTGCAGTACTCTTAGTTTTTGTTTAAAAGGGAATTAAGGTGGTTTTTGTTTTTTTTTTTTTATATAAAAAAAATTAAATATATTTATATATATAAAATGGCTATTTACAGATGAGTAGAAATGTTTTTTTTTTTAATTTTTTTAATAAAAAACCTAGTAATTTGTGGTGGAAATTATTTATAATGAAAAGCATAAAAATATTTGAAAAATCTTTCATTAACAACAAAAACACCTAAAGAAAATAAATTAAATATTTATAAGATTGTTTTGCCTAGAAATTTATAAGCTTTTTTTAGAAAGAAAGCTTAAAAATGGTGATAGTTTGTTTGAAAGTTAAAGATTAAAAGCTTTAAAAGTATTTTAACTTATATTTGGATAAAAAACTTTTAAAACCTGTGTAATAGAATTGAAAGCTTTTAAAAAATTTTAAAGCTTTACACAAAAGCTTAACTTGCGTTTACTTTGCACTTTAAGCTTTATTTAAACAATGTTATTTATCAACATGTTATAAAAGGTTTTTTAAAAGTATAAATTAAGCTTAATAGCTTTTTAAAATCTAATAGAATTTGAGTAAATGATTTGATTTCTTTAAAAGCTCTACCAGATAAAAGCTTTTTTAATTTATGAATTAAGCTGAAAAGCTTTTCAAATTATGGCTGTAAGTAAAACCTTAGAGCTTTTAGAGGGAATATATTGTTATGGCACGTCTTGATAGTTTTCTTTTATATTAAGTTTTTTTTATTTTCTGAAAGCCTGAAAGCTTTAAATGTATACAATTGGTTTAAAAAGCTTTTTCTTAATATTAAAACCTAATTTATTCATATAGTATGATAAAAGCTTTTAGAAAATTTAAGTTTTGGATTAAAGCTACAATTTTTAATTGAAAGCTTTTGAGTTATTTAACCATATAGTTTTAAAATATTAAAATGTTATAGATTTATTTGAAAACTTAGATTATTTTAAGTTATTGCTAAACTTTTAGCAAAATTATAGCAGCTTTTTGTCTTAAAGCTATTCAAAATCTTAAATGTGATAAAGCTTTATTCTAAAGCTTTATTTTTTTGCAACTTTGTTAAGCTTTTAAGCTAATTTTTAAATGCTTTTACCTTAAGACTACTGTTACTACGTAAAAAGTTTTCAAATCATAAAGCTTTGTTTAAAAAAGCTTTAAAATATTTTTTTTTTACTTAACTTTAATGCACTTAAAAAGCTCTGAAGAAGCGCTTATGCTTATTTAAGAAAAGCTTTTAAACAAAATTAAGTTTAAATTTGTGGAAATTTATAATAATTTTTTTAATTAACAGCTTTTGATACTTTATCGATTTATTAGTAATTTATCAATTTTAGCTTTTACACTTTTACTAAAAAAGCTTTTAGAATTTAGTAGATTTTCAAAAAATTTATCAATTTAAGCTTTTATATTTAAAATAAAGCATGTATATATGCAATGCCGCAATTAAAGCTTTTGAAGATCATTACTTTTTGTACAAATCTTCTTTTAAAATAAGCTTTTTAAATTTAGTTCAAATTAGTAGTTTTTAGTAAAACTTTTAAAAGCTTTTTTAATTTAAACTTTTGTTAAACGTTTTATAAGCTTTTATAACTGCCACATTTCATTTTAAAACTTTTAAATCTTTTAGCCATCATATTTTTCAAACTTTCTTAATAAATGAGCTTTCAAACTTTAAAGTTTTTTAATAGTTAACAGTTTCAATATTATAAATATTAAATTTAGTATAAAGGCAAATGTCAAAAAGGAAAAAAATTAAAGAATATACAAACAAATATTTATAATAATAATCATAAATATATAAACAAACAAATTTTAGTTGTTTTTGGTTTTATAATAAATATTTACAAAAATCTTTTTTTTTTAATTATTTACAGTTAAATTAACTAAAAAAACAAAATTCTTTGGTAACAGAAAAATTTTTTAAAGGAAATTAAAAAGTAGTTGTTTCAAATTATAAGTTAAATGTTTAGTGAAAACTTAAAATTGTTGTTGTTTGTTTTTTTTATATTTAAATGGAAATTAATGAACTTTTTTTGTTAAATATTTTGTTTTCATTTTTTAAAGGGAATTATTTTATTTTGTTTGTATTTTTTTTATATTTCAAAAAATGTAAGACAAAAGTTGGGACGGGTTAATCTGCTATTCCGCTAATACGCTTTAGTTTTTTTTATTTTTTCATCAAAAGTTTTTTAACGAAAAGTTTTTTTATTCAAAAATTTACATTTTTGAAAAAAGTTTTAAAAAAGCTTTTGTTTGAGTTAAAGGAGAGAGGACCCTTTATTTTTATAAAAATTTCCCTAGATAAAAAGGAAATCTTGAAAAAATATTTTTTTAAAACGCTTTTCGTTGATTTTTTTTTTTAAAGAGATTAAGCTATTTACAAAGATTGTGGATTTCTTTTTTACAAAAAATTTAAAAAAACTAAAATTGTAGTAAGAAAAAAAAATCCAAATAAACTAAAAAATTCTTTTAAAAAAGTGTAATTTTGTACGATTTTTAATAATTTTTAAAAAATCATGTTAATAAAATTTTAAACCTAATGAACGTGTTTTTATGTTTTTTTTTTTTTTAATAATTATAAATGAATTAAAATTTTATTTAAGAAAATAAAACCTCAATTTCAATAAAAGGAAATAAAAGTAAAGTCTTACAAAAAAACAAAATTACAGAAAATTATAAAACAGAAATTAATAAAAAAAAATATTAATTACTTTCTTTTCTTGTAGTTTTGTTTTAAAAATAACTAATAAAAACTAAATTAATAAATAAATAAATTTTAAAAAAATAATTGAAATTGTTTAAGAATTTGTAGAATTTGAAAAAAAATGCTTACAATCATTCATATCGTCATTGGATCTCATTATATATTGATCCGATGAGGATAGTCTTGAATGCCCGTTCAAATTGGGATGAGCTCCCCCCCTATGATCACCACCATTATTGTTGGTTTTTTGATTTAAAACGCTACGCATCGCCATTGCAGATGGATTTGTTTGATGCATATACATACTATCACCTTCGCACTCACTTTCTTTATACTGCAACACATTGTTGTGTTTCTCATAAATGACCAGGCACCGATGACATCCTTTCCTAAAATTTTTTTATAACATATTTTTTTTGGTTTGTTTTTGAATCATTCGTTAAATTGTTTTTTTTTTAATTTGCGTTTTTCGTTTTAAATATTTTTTAAATGGTGTTTAGTTTTTGTTTAATGGATTTTTTGATAAATTGTTTTTTTATTATTTTAAGAGAGGAAAAAAATATAAGTAAAATTGTTTAATTAACAAAATTTGTTGAAAACAAAATAATGAAAAAGTTGAAACAGAAAATATATTTATATATTATATAAACGTGTTTTCTACACGTTTTTAGGGGGGTTAATTAAATTATTAATTTTATTTTTTGTTAGTTTGTGGGGGTCATTAAAGTATTAAGATTTGATTTGTTTTTGTTTTAGTATATAATATGATTTAATTGTTATTTTTGATGAATTTTTTGTTAAAAAATAACTTGATTTTTTGCAAAATATTTTGGTTAATGAAAAAGTTGTTTCAAAATGTTGAAATATATATCAGTGTTGTGCTGATTTAAATAGCTAAAATGTTTTTAATATTAATGATTTTGACCTTTGACCTTCAGCTTTTTATTCCAACCAGGCATCATTAGACAAATTAAGGTTTCGAGCCAAAATTTTTCTAAACTTCCAGATCGAATTTTCTTTTTTACATTACACCTAAGATGTTAGCTTTCCCTCAGAAAGTTAAAGACGAAAAGATACTAAGTGGATTTGTTTCGGTAACTTATTGATCTATCTTCAAAATGAGCCACGAAATGAATACTTGAGATCCCAGAATTAATAATAAATCAAAAAATTAAAAAGTTTTAAAAAATACTCAGAAATTCCATAGTGTGTTTTGTTCTTGGGGTCTTATATGGGGTTATAGATCTCTTCTGCGATAATCTGAGATCGGTTAACAACTCTTTCGAACAGATCCACTAAATTGCATTGCTGTGTAATCATACGATTACAAATTTGATTCAAAATATCAGGCGCTATCCGATAGATCATAATTGTAACAATTTGAGGCCAGATATCGGATAGTTATATCAACCAGAGAGGAAAGCTTGACAAACTCTATTGTTAAGAATTGTACAATATCGATGGACACTGAAAAAGTTTCATGATTGAAACTGGTTCCGTTAAGGAACTATTTAGGAAATGTTTTCTAATAATGGTGACCAATATCCGCCACGTTTTTCGAGAAGTATTTATTGATGTCAAATGCTCAACTTAGATCTCAGATGACAAAAATATCCTCGGAACGCGGCCGTCAAAGTCGAATTTATCAACTTTTATTTACCGAATAACGATTAATAAATATTCGTTGGGCTTGGTTCGACTTGATATGACAACAGCCTGGAGTGTAGTAGATGTTTGGGTAACGAGGTAAATATAAAAAACGATAAAGACACGGAGTAACTCTTCATAAGATATTGAAATGTTTTCTAATAATGTCGATCAATATCCGCTGCGTTTTCCGAGTATTTAATGAAATACACATCTCAAATGATAAAAACATTATCGGGGTGGGGTCATCCTAGTCCAATTTATAAACCTTTATTAACGATACCGAATACGATTACTAAATATCCGTTGGGGTAACCAACATGAATATTTTGGATCCTTTTAATTGGTCCTTGGGTTTGGTTCGACTTGATATGACAACAGCCTGAACTGCAGTAGATGTTTGGGTAATGAGGTAGATATAAAAAATTAAAAAGAACTGGGAGTAACTCCCAATAAGATATCGAAATGTTTTCTAATAATGTCGACCAATATCCGCTACGTTTTTCGAGAAGTATTTATTTAATGATGTCAGGTCTTAGATGACAAAAACATCCTCGGGACGGGGTCCTAGATACCGAATACGATTAATAAATATCCGTTGGGGTAACTAGCATGTCGATTATGTTGAATATTTTGAACCCTTTCAATAGGATAGACTTGGTTCGACTTGATATGACAACAGCCCGAACTGTTGTAGATGTTTAGGTAACGAGGTAGTTATTAAAAACTATAAAGAACTGAAGTAACTCCTAATAAGATACCGAGACATTTTGGACTGTTTAAAGAACAGCTTAAAAGTTATCGATAAGACACTGGGATCAACCAATTAGCCGATTTGTTTAAAACTGATAATACAGCAAAAATATTATTGACCTTTACCCCAATGAAGACACATATTTAACTGCAAGATACTTGGTAGCAGTAAAAATGAGATATGAAGAAGTCAGACGTCTCTGTTCGAACTTAAGGCTCAGTTAGTTTCTACGTTTCGCTCCGTGACAGATCAGCTGATTCGAGTTTTTCATACAAAATCACAACGGTAACCTCACGGTCAATCTAACGACTTACACAGGTTTCCGTAAGTCAAAAACAAATCAGCTGACGTATCATGGAACGGAACGTAGAAACTAACTGAGCCTTTATAAGAACATATAGCCACGATGTGGGATAATTCGATTATGAAAGGTTTTGCTTTCGATATATCGTATATGTCCAAAACAAAAACATGCCGAGACTTTCCGAAATGTTTTCCGTTTGAGTTAATGCTATCTTATTAAGAAAATATCTTAGAATCGCCCGACATTTCAGAAGTCTGAGATTACAAATCGTAATCATGTGAATTAGATCATTAGCTCTGTAATGAAGTTCAGAACAAAGAATGCCCTGTAAAGTCAAGAATTGACTTCTGAGGGTTCAAAAACTTGAAACTTCTTTAAATTTTTTAAAAATATGACCAAGATCGAAATTGAAATAATCACATCACCACTAATGGGGGATCCATACGAAAATCTTTATTGATGTCATGAGATCTTAAGTAGATAATTTTAAATGGAAGAAGTGGGAAAATTTTCAAGATTAAACGATTAAAATTTAGTTTAATTATGTCAAAGGTCTAGTATTGAGAACCTTTTTTTAATAACTTACTGAAAGGATGATATCTCAACTGTCTAAGATATATTGAGTATCGAATAAATCTTAAGAATTCTTAGTTAGGAACTGTTAGGTACAACTTCTTAACCAAAATATTTTGCAAAAATCTTAAGATTTCCTTCATAGTTTTCCTAATTATATAATGAAAATGATTTAATATAAATAATTATTTTGTTGAAGTATGATTTTTAAACAAAATATTTATAACCCTTATAAAAATACAATTAAAATTAAACCAATAAAACAGTTAAAAATAATAAAAAAAAATATTTCTGACAAATGGAAAAAACTAAACTCCAAAAATAAACGACAGCTAAATATAAAGGAACCAGTCATTTTTTTATATGGGAAATAAACTTTATTTCCAGTAATTTTAAAGAAAAACTTTTTTTATAATTATAAATGATTTACAACAAATACATAGAAAAAAAATATTATTTAGTTTTATAGTTATAAATATAAAAACCAAAAAAAAAACACATTTCAGCTACAACTTAAAATGTTAAAAGATTTTCTTTTTTTAATGATTTTTAAAATAATAAATTTAATTTGTTTACTTAATAAAAAAGCTGAGAGTTTAATAACAAAAACTTGTATTTTATATAAAACATTCATTAAACAAATTATAAATAAAAAAAATATTTTTTTATTAAATACTATTTATTTAAAGGGCATTTTTTGTTTCACATAAATTTTGAGTTTTCATATAAATTTATGTTTTATAAGTCAGAATAAAAGTAGTTTAGGTAAAAACGATAATTCATTAAATCTTAAATTAAAGAAAAAGAAACTAAATGAGTTTTGAAAAATAAAACACGAATAAACAAAATACTTAAAAAAAAACTCAAAACTAAAAAAAAAAGTTTTATTTCTTTTTTTTCAACATTTCATTAAAAAAAAAAACCTACAAAAATCGTTGAAGTATTAACGAAATGAAATGAGTGAAATTGCAGGAAAAATATTCATAAAAAAATTTAAGTAAAACTGAAAAATTAAATTTCATTTTTTTATAGTTTTTTGTAGTTTTTTTATTTAAATGGTAAGCACAGAAAAACACGCAAACTTTTAAGATTTTTACTAGGAATTTTAATTTTTCTTCCTTTTATATGTATTATTATATGTATGTATGTAGTAGTATATTTATTTATAAAAAAATACAACATACGTCTCTATACACATAAAAAAATAAGAAATTAAACTGAGAAATGAAAATCAAGTAGTAGAAGAAGAAGAAGAAAAAAACTAAAATATATATAAATATGTATATTAAACCATCATTAAATACATATTGTAGTTGTTGTTGTTAGTGGAGGTAAAGAGTCATCATCATTAAAAAAAAACTAAAATTTTTATATAAAAAGGAAAAACTATAATGAAAGCAACAGCAACAACAACAACGAAAAACTTAAAGGAAATGAATTAAAATCAGGGTACGGATCAAAGTTAAACGCTCAATGATTTGTGGGTTAAGAGTTTCCGTTTAATTGTAATCAAAGTTTATGAGAACACTCGATTAAACAAGCAACCACACAGTGAATAAGCGAGAGAGAGAGGCGTTCATATATCCTTAAAGGATAATAACAAATACAATGTTAAACTATATTTTTGAGTAATTTTCTTTTACTATAATACTTCTAAGTGGAATTTCGTGTTGAAAAGTTTTTGAATATCGTTATCGTTTTATTGTTTATAATCTTAGTAATTTTGGAAACTAGTTGCGGTTAAGAGATGGTCAATTGTTGAATAATCAATTAAACCAGTTTTCGTTTTTACACGAATGTGGTTTAACTTTCAAGGAGATGACGAAAGATATCCAAATGTGGTCGCCATACATGATAAGTGATCTAAGATAACAGGCTGTCAGGCCTCATAATTATACAGTGATCCACTTTATACAATAAATATTTTACTAATATAGGATCAAAGGATCCACCGAAAGTCGCTCTTAACTTAACTTAAAGATACTTGGTGACACTGTACCTTGCAACAGTTCTGACATTTATCATAATTAACATAACGCAGGCAGATTTTTGAATTTCGGTCAACGCACAATATTTTATACAACTTTATCTGCGATATTTTTTAGATCTTAATTACAAACAACTTGCCATTTAAGAAACCATTCTCAGAGATATAGGCGCTATCTAGACGAGTCATTCGATTATTTGGCCTTAGGTCACAACCATTCTGGATGACAGTAAAATCTCATAGTTAAAAATTTCATATTTGCAAGAACTGATTAAATAATCCACTAAAGTCATAACTTCAACAAGATCTCATAAGATCTGCTGCGGTACTTTAAAGCGGTCAAATCGATATTTATTTGTTGTATATTTTTGCCCGATTTGGTGCATTTATTGTGAATATCAAATGGATCCTATTAGGTTTAAAGATGATCAAGTTCAATAGTAATCAGCTAAAAGAGCTTCGCTGTCACTTTATTTTCTTATGGTATAGATCGATTATGCGGAACTTTGACGGATATATTGTGGATTTCAGAGGGATCAATGTGATAAATTATAATCCAATGTATCTATTAAATCCATGAACTGCTAAACTCGATGACAAGGATAATGGAAAATTCCTTCATTGAAGCTTATACAAGTATATCAGATCATTCGTAAACTATATAGCGGAGACCTTTCTGGTTCCTTTTTGGATCCAAGACACTTTGTTTTTGCAACTTTTATAATTGCGTTTACTAATATGAAAACCCGAATATTTGTACACTTTTCACTCTGAGAATAAGGATACTAAACAGAGAACTTTTTGGCTCCTCTTAAATCGGGGTGTTATATCATTGTAAACTTTGTTTCTGTTGCATTTACTATAATGAAAACCCGAATATTTGTACACTTTTCACTTTGAGGATAAGGCTATTAAACAGAGAGCTTTTTGGCTCCTCTTAAATCGGGGAATTATATCATTGGAAACTTTGTTTCTGCATTAACTGGAGAATTGATGTTTATTGTACAAATAAATCGTTAAAAGTTTCTTGAAATCGAACTTCTAAAGCTATATTACTGCTCGAATTGGAATCAACAACTTATTTCCTTAAAGCAGAATATATTTCAAGAATAGAGACTTAATATTTAAACAGAAACGGATTCCAGATAAATAAAAATAGAATCAAGAACTATTGTCTTAAAATCAGGATATTTCCTGGCTTTTGAAAACGAAAATGTGTTCAGGTTAGACGTACATATAAATCGGAGCACTCATGAAATTTGCTACTGAACTCTGTATCGGAGAGCAGTGAAGCTTTATGTTTCCAAATATTTCAGAATCAGTCACAATGGGACAACATTTGCATCTCGATGTACATTTGTCATTAGATGTCGAATATAGAAAATCCAATAAAATTATGATATACTCTTAGAAATAGAATCAAGACAAATGTAACTTCCCAAATCTATGGCAAATTGGAAAGAACAGCCGATGAAAATTCGAAAAAGTAAAAATCGGCTGAATATCTAGGGTTTAGACGTTAACCAGAGATTATGATAATGGGCCTTAGAGTGGCAACTAAGGTTTTACTTGTGAAATAATTTTATGTCAAGTGCTAGTTATAGAGGAAACTCACTATCCGATCTTATACAAAAAATAACAGTTTAGACTTTATAGCGCAGATTAGGACATCATATAGACTTCCTAATGAATAACGGGCCTTTATGTTATTACAACCCATTGGAAGACATTAAATCTGGGTGTTAGAGTTAACAGAATGGACGTAACTTTAAAATTGTATAATTGAAAAAAACTTTTGCATCCTGTTCCTTACTCTAAACAAATCCCACAAATCCGAACCCTGATTTAATCCTTCTAAAATAAAAAAAAAATGTAAAAAAGGAAGAAAAATAAAAAAATTAACGAAAAAAAATCATAAAAAATGAAGACCATCTCAGATACACCACGACAACAAACATTATTGGTTGTACTGCGACTGCAACCAATCATGGTTGTATTTTAATGGAGTATAGTATGCATGGCTGGGATGTTAAAACCTCTAAACAAACTACATACAAATAGTGGTAGCAGATTTTAGAGATTTTTTCTTTTTGTATTTTTTTTTAGAAAACTTCCTTCTTTATTTCAACAGATATGTATGATGATTTTAGAAGTTTTTTTTTCTTCTTCTTACTCGTAAATATATTTTTATTTTTTTGTTTATTTTCTTTTTTTTTCTAGTTTAATTTAAGTATTTTGCAAGTTTTGGAGAAAAAAAATGTGTATGTGTTAGAGATAGTTGTTAGATGTATGTATATTTTGTGTATGTTTAAAGTTAAACTTTAGTTAAACAAAAGTTTAAATTTGTATAAGCATATTGTAGTACAAGTGTATGTTTGTATGTATAAATATAACAACATATCCTGTAAAATTTGGAGTAGAACTCTAGAGAATTTTTGTTGTGTCCATTTCAATTCATTACACTTTTTTGCTAAATATTTGTTTTGTGTAGTTTTTCTTTTTTTACAGCTTACCTCATTTTTTTGTAAAAAGTAGTTGAGTTTTTTTTCTTAAAATTTAGTTTAGTTCGTTTATATTTTATTTTTTTATAAATAAATGATATTTTGTGTGTTCTTGTTTTTTGTAAGAAGCTTGCTTCTGTTAGCATTTTTTTTTTATTTTAATTTGAAAATTCATGAATGTTTTTTTGTTTGTCTTTCTGTCTGTAAATGTAAAGTATTGGGTAATAAGGATATTGATACATGTTTTCTATATGCAAATGAAGTACCTAATTTTTTTCCTGTTTAAATATATTTATTTGTTTGTTTATTTAGTTTATTACGAGTCTAGTTTGTTTGTTTGCTTACAGATATTTTAATTAATTATTCACTAGCAATTTATTTAAAAGGTATTTTCAATGATTTTTAAATGAGTTTAAAAAAAAAACGTAATAAATAAATGACTAGTTTGGACCAAAAAAAAGTAGAACTTAATAAATATAAATGAGACTTATGGCAGAAAAATGAAAATTATAAATTAATTACCATATTACGTAGGTTGAGGTTGAGGTTGAGGGTGAAAAGTTTACGAGTTTAAGAGGAAAATGTAATTGCGTTTTCAACAAAATGTATTTCAAACTTAAAAAGTAGTTTTAAAATAGGGATTTTTAAAAAGGTAATTCGTTAGTTTCGTATTTTTCCAATTCAATTTCTAGTAAAATTTTTAATTTCATTTAAAATTTCGTGATTTTTCACTACAAATTCGTATTTTTAGAGAAATATTAGTCAAATTTCAAATTTCTAGAGAAATTTTGAATTCCTATTGAAATTTTGAATTCCTAGTTATATTTCAAATTTCTTATGAAATTTTGAATTTCTAGTGATTTTTCGAATTTTTAGTAAAATTTCGAATTTTTATAAAAATTTTAAGAAGAATTTCTAATAAAACTTGGAATTTTTATTAAAATTTCGTATTTCTAGTACAATTTCGAATATCTAGAGAAATTTCTAATTTTTGGTAATTTTTCGAATTTTCGTGAAATTTTGGATTTTTTAGTGAAATGTCTAATTTCTACTGAAATTTTGAGTTTCGTCTGATATTTTGTATTTCTAGTAAAATTCTGAAATTTTATTAAAATTTCGTATTTCTAATAAAATTTCGGGTTGTTTAGTGAAATTTTAAATTTCCAGTGACTTTTAGGATTGTTAGTAAAATTTCGAGTTCGTAGTGAATTTTAAAATTTTTATAAAAATTTCGAATTTTTTGATTTTTCGAATTTTACGAATTGTTCAAGAAATTTCGAAGTTTTAGTGAAATTTTGTATTTTTGTGAAATGTCGAATGTCTAGTGAAATTTTATGAAATTTTTAAATTGTTAGTGAAATTTCTTTTCACTTTTCGAATTCTAGTGATTTCGAATTTTTAGTGAAATTTAGAATTTCTAGTGAAATTTCGTATTTCTAATGAAATGTCGACTGTCTAGTGAAATTTAAAGTTAATAGAATATTTCAAAATTTCTGGTGAAATTTTGAATTTGTAGAAAATTTTGAATTTCCAGTGAAATTTTAATTTGAAGTAAAATTTTGTATTTTTATTGAAATTTCTAGAAAAATTTAAAATTTCTAGTAAAATTTCGAATTTACAGATTGATCAACACATTCCAAATAGAATATAAAAACAACTTCAAAAGTTGTGGTGATATTTTTTAAAGGAAAGTTTCTCTTCATCTATCGGTAAAGTCATGTGGACTACGGACAGTATTTACGGATTAAAAATAAAATAATGGTATTCCACCCGATTAAAATCAAAATGTACTTTCGCTTGCACTGGGAATCTGCTCCCGTGAAATCGTTTTAGTAAGAGGTTTTGAAACTCGATTGAAAGTTTTGTTTCTCTCAAACTCATCCAGAAATATGTTTCAAACAAATTTTCCAAATAAATTTAAATTCTCAAAACAAATTGAAATAATTTAATTAAAACACTTTTACATTTTCTTCAAATAAACACATACATACATAAATCTTTAGCACCCCAAAATAAACCCACGTATTAATTTCAAATACTTAAAGACTTTCTTTCCTTCAATTTAAAATTTAAGGGGCGGGTAATAAATAAATAAATATTTCTTAAAATCACCAAATATATGTTAAATAAGTTAGTTAGTTAGTATTATAGTTAGTGATTTAGTTAATTAAATTAACTAAGTAAATGTAATAAAATATGTATGTTTTGTGTATATTTTCTTTCATATACACCAAGTGAGGGTAATAAATATGTATTAAAATAATGTAAAAGAAAATGGAAAACTTACTCGTCCACAATTAAATATTTGTTACCATCCGAAGCAGCACATCTTCCCCTATAACTAAATTGGGAACCTTTAATGTGTATAGATTGTTGATAGCCCGATAGGAACCAAGAGCCCTCCCAGCGGGCAGGAAATGTACAATTGGTGGGCACTAAAAAATATGTAAATAAAAGAAAATTAAACACATGAGATTTTTTTATTATTTGAATACAATGAATTTTAATACGAAATTTAAATAAAATAACACAGAGGAACATTGTTGTAAACATTAAGATTTGTGGCATTTTAATTTAATATTATTTTCTTCCCGCCCTCTTTCTTCTCCACCAACAATTTTAATGTCCTCAACTTTAATCTTAACACAACAACACACTTTTTATTATTGTATGAAAAAAGATATGTAGATTTCAACGAAATGACCTTCAAGTGTTTTATTTGGTTTTTTGTTTGTGCTTCTAAAATTTTCATATGTGAGTGCAGAGTTTTGAAAGGCAGAATTCTTTTTTAACTTAAGTCATTTAAAATGAATAAGAACTGAACTGGAACTGAACTAGAACTGAACTAGAACTGAACTAGAACTGAACTAGAACTGAACTAGAACTGAACTGAACTGAACTAGAACTGAACTAGAACTGAACTAGAACTGAACTAGAACTGAACTAGAACTGAACTAGAACTGAACTAGAACTGAACTAGAACTGAACTAGAACTGAACTAGAACTGAACTAGAACTGAACTAGAACTGAACTAGAACTGAACTAGAACTGAACTAGAACTAGAACTGAACTAGAACTGAACTAGAACTGAACTAGAACTGAACTAGAACTGAACTAGAACTGAACTAGAACTGAACTAGAACTGAACTAGAACTGAACTAGAACTGAACTAGAACTGAACTAGAACTGAACTAGAACTGAACTAGAACTGAACTAGAACTGAACTAGAACTGAACTAGAACTGAACTAGAACTGAACTAGAACTGAACTAGAACTGAACTAGAACTGAACTAGAACTGAACTAGAACTGAACTAGAACTGAACTAGAACTGAACTAGAACTGAACTAGAACTGAACTAGAACTGAACTAGAACTGAACTAGAACTGAACTAGAACTGAACTGAACTAGAACTGAACTAGAACTGAACTAGAACTGAACTAGAACTGAACTAGAACTGACTAGAACTGAACGAGAACTGACTAGAACTGACCTAGAACTGAACTAGAACTGAACTAGAACTGAACTAGAACTGAACTAGAACTGAACTAGAACTGAACTAGAACTACTGAACTAGAACTGGACTAGAACTGAACTAGAACTGAACTAGAACTGAACTAGAACTGAACTAGAACTGAACTAGAACTGAACTAGAACTGAACTAGAACTGAACTAGAACTGAACTAGAACCGAACTAGAACTCAACTAGAACTGAACTAGAACATTAAAACAAGTTCTTTCAAAACTCTGACCTCTTAATAAAGACCCACAAAAACTCCTGCTAAAAAGAACGTATTAAAAAATTTACAAAAAAAGTATTTTTGTGAAAAGCAAGAGACACACACATATTCTCCCTCAAAAGAAAAAAACGAAAACGACCGGAAGGGAAAAAAGCAATAAAAATTTAAATATCAGTTCTTTTTTAACACATTTGTACAACTTTTTTACTTTACAATATTAAAGGAATGTTTAAATTTTTAATACTAAAAAGAAAACAAACCAAAGAAACCAACATTAATTTCTTACATATTAATTGAGAGACCAAGAACAACTAAGAGAGAAGGAGGGTGACCACCACCAACAGCCATTATATTCATTATGTTCACACCATTCTTTTGTACTGACATTTTTTCTAAAAAAAATTATAAGTTCACATTCATAAAAAGGAAGTCACACACACATATAGAGTATGTATGTTAATGTGTTTGTGTACATATGTTTAAGAATGGGTGCTGACAAGGTGGTTTGTTTTGGTTCTTTTTGGCTTTACATTAGTTTTATTTGAGAAACAATTGTTTAGTACTATTGACTACTGTTTTTTCTATTTTTTATATGTACATTAAGAGGGCTGAGAGGATTGTCACTCCTCTTCTTTAATTATTATGTACTTACAATACATATTTTTTATTTTCTAATTGCTGTTGTTGTTGTTGTCTCTTAGAAGTGTTGAAGTGTATGAGAAAATAATAACATTTAATAAGTATTTTTTTCTATTGTTGTTGTTGTTGTCATTATTATTGGTTCATTAATGGGAATTTTTGTATGCATTTGTAAATTCTGTTTATTTATTTGTTATTTTTGGTCATAAATTTAACAATTTAATGTGACGTCATTATTTAAATTTATTTTTATTAGATTTTTATTGTTGCTGTGTTTTTTTATTCAGCTGACCAAACACATTGTCATTAGAGGAGGGTTGACATTTTTTATTCACTCTTTTCAATTTTAATTAAAATTAAATGAGGGAGTAGTGTTTGTATGTGTTTTGTGGAAATTTATTTATGTCACAAACATAATGTTATTATGTTACGATTTAACGATTTGATTTTAACAAGTAAACAATAGCAAAATTTTAAAAAATTTTGATTTGTTTTTCTATAAACGATTGCTAATGAAAAACTAAATTTTTGGTACATTTTTATAAAAATGAAATTATGTATAGTAAAAAGTATTTAAAAAATAAAATATTTCTAGTGGATTCATAATTACAAATCTTCTATAACCTACAATTGTATGAATTACAGAATTGTCATTAATATTTTATAATAAATCTACATTCAAATTTAAATAGAATTTTTACCGAAAGTTTAATACCTAACTAAAATTTTAGTTATTCCTTTTTATGTAATAAAATCTTTAAGTTTTATTTTACTAATTAGTTTTTCTTAATTTCGCCTTTCCTTTTGAAATCCTTATGTCAATGACTTAATTATTCCTTTATACACATGTGAATGTATATAAACCCAACCCCCTACCGCGCTGTACAGTATTAAAAAGCAAATGAGCAATAGTTGGAAATTTCCATGACTATTAAGGGAAATTTCAATTACTATAATGGGACATTTTGATGACATACATTAAATTTAACATTAAAAGCGGACGATAAAGGCAAGAAGCCTTAGAACTTTGTGATATTCAATTTAAAATTAAAGGGATTTTAAGGAATTTAAATCCTTAAAGAAACTGAAATAGATATTGAGAATGTTTAGATAATTAAAACTAAAAAATTTCGTATTTTTGTTTAGGAAAATACGCCAAAAAATTAACAACTTAATTCTAAGTCCAGCCAAAAAAAAAATTTAATTTCCAAGAAAGTTCAGATCTAGTTCAGTTCTAGTTCAGTTCTAGTTAAGTTCTAGTTCAGTTCTAGTTCAGTTCTAGTTAAGTTCTAGTTCAGTTCTAGTTCAGTTCTAGTTCAGTTCTAGTTCAGTTTTAGTTCAGTTCTAGTTCAGTTCTAGTGCAGGCAAAAAATTAACAACTTAATTCTAAGTCCAGCCAAAAAAAAATTTTAATTTCCAAGAAAGTTCAGATCTAGTTCAGTTCAAGTTCAGTTCTAGTTAAGTTCTAGTTCAGTTCTAGTTCAGTTCTAGTTAAGTTCTAGTTAAGTTCTAGTTCAGTTCTAGTTCAGTTTTAGTTCAGTTCTAGTTCAGTTCTAGTTCAGTTCTAGTTCAGTTCTAGTTCAATTCTAGTTCAATTCTAGTTCAGTTCTAGTTCAGTTCTAGTTCAGTTCTAGTTCAGTTCTAGTTCAGTTCTAGTTCAGTTCTAGTTCAGTTCTAGTTCAGTTCTAGTTCAGTTCTAGTTCAGTTCTAGTTCAGTTCTAGTTCAGTTCTAGTTCAGTTCTAGTTCAGTTCTAGTTCAGTTCTAGTTCAGTTCTAGTTCAGTTCTAGTTCAGTTCTAGTTCAGTTCTAGTTCAGTTCTAGTTCAGTTCTAGTTCAGTTCTAGTTCAGTTCTAGTTCAGTTCTAGTTCAGTTCTAGTTCAGTTCTAGTTCAGTTCTAGTTCAGTTCTAGTTCAGTTCTAGTTCAGTTCTAGTTCAGTTCTAGTTCAGTTCTAGTTCAGTTCTAGTTCAGTTCTAGTTCAGTTCTAGTTCAGTTCTAGTTCAGTTCTAGTTCAGTTCTAGTTCAGTTCTAGTCAGTTCTAGTTCAGTTCTAGTTCAGTTCTAGTTCAGTTCTAGTTCAGTTCTAGTTCAGTTCTAGTTCAGTTCTAGTTCAGTTCTAGTTCAGTTCTAGTTCAGTTCTAGTTCAGTTCTAGTTCAGTTCTAGTTCAGTTCTAGTTCAGTTCTAGTTCAGTTCTAGTTCAGTTCTAGTTCAGTTCTAGTTCAGTTCTAGTTCAGTTCTAGTTCGTTCTAGTTCAGTTCTAGTTCAGTTCTAGTTCAGTTCTAGTTCAGTTCTAGTTCAGTTCTAGTTCAGTTCTAGTTCAGTTCTAGTTCAGTTCTAGTTCAGTTCTAGTTCAGTTCTAGTTCAGTTCTAGTTCAGTTCTAGTTCAGTTCTAGTTCAGTTCTAGTTCAGTTCAGTCAGTTCTAGTTCAGTTCTAGTTCAGTTCTAGTTCAGTTCTAGTTCAGTTCTAGTTCAGTTTCTAGTTCAGTTCTAGTTCAGTTCTAGTTCAGTTCTAGTTCATTCTAGTTCAGTTCTAGTTCAGTTCTAGTTCAGTTCTAGTTCATTCTAGTTCAGTTCTAGTTCAGTTCTAGTTCAGTTCTAGTTCAGTTCTAGTTCAGTTCTAGTTCAGTTCTAGTTCAGTTCTAGTTCAGTTCTAGTTCAGTTCTAGTTCAGTTCTAGTTCAGTTCTAGTTCAGTTCTAGTTCAGTTCTAGTTCAGTTCTAGTTCAGTTCTAGTTCAGTTCTAGTTCAGTTCTAGTTCAGTTCTAGTTCAGTTCTAGTTCAGTTCTAGTTCAGTTCTAGTTCAGTTCTAGTTCAGTTCTAGTTCAGTTCTAGTTCAGTTCTAGTTCAGTTCTAGTTCAGTTCTAGTTCTAGTTCAGTTCTAGTTCAGTTCTAGTTCAGTTCTAGTTCAGTTCTAGTTCAGTTCTAGTTCAGTTCTAGTTCAGTTCTAGTTCAGTTCTAGTTCAGTTCCAGTTCAGTTCTCTTCAGTTCTAGTTCAGTTCTAGTTCAGTTCTAGTTCTAGTTCAGTTCTAGTTCAGTTCTAGTTCAGTTCTAGTTCAGTTCTAGTTCAGTTCTAGTTCAGTTCTAGTTCAGTTCTAGTTCAGTTCTAGTTCAGTTCTAGTTCAGTTCTAGTTCAGTTCTAGTTCAGTTCTAGTTCTAGTTCAGTTCTAGTTCAGTTCTAGTGGTTTACTTCGGTTCTTATTTAGTTTCAGTTTTGTTAATTATATCGAAAAAAACTTACCATCATTACGTCCCGCCCAACAATGAGCTGATGTTGACAGCATTATAAATAACAGCCACATAAACAACCACTTTGAAACCGCAACAGTTTTATTCAAGTTATTGGAACAGCCGTACAGCAATTGACACAAATTGCCAAATAATGAAGATGAACCTAAGGTAATGCCATCATCAGTAATGATCTTACAATCAACAATATCACTAAGTGTTAAAGATGACGATGACGATGACGTTGTTGCTGCTCCCACACCAATTATATCCAAATTCTTTTGTTCTAAATTACATTCGCTGCCAATAGTATCACGTTTATATTGTTTAAAGCACCTACATTCCTTATTTAATATCGTTGTATACGAAGGATTTGTTAATATTGAAGATGATGATAATGATGAAGATTGTGATGTTGGAGAACATGATTGTGTGTCTGTTTCTGTAGTTGTGGTTGTTGGTGAGGGAGAGTGTGTTTTAGTTTTAATGATTTTTGAATTTGTATAAAATAATAATTCTTTATAATTAATATAGGAATTCTTAAGTGTTATCTTGTCTAGATTTTCTTCATTTTCTTTTTCCTCTTCTTCTACTTCAGCTGTTTGCGTGTCCTGATGAGTTTTGCTTAATCTTAAAAGAATATTTTCCTTAATATTTCCAGCTTCTAAGTGATTATCATACACCGCCTCCTCGTTTCCATTCACATTATTATAGTCTGGTTCATTGTCTAGCTGGTCATCACAGTTTTTCGAGGACATGAAAGTTTTCATGTGGTTTTTATATGTTTGTTGCTCCGCCAAGTCTTGGACATTGCTGAGCATAATTTTGCTGCTGTTATTATTATTTTTATTATGTTGATTATAATTTAAACAATGACATCTTGACAACACTGACGTGTTGTTAGTTTTAATGTGGTTGGTGCCGTGATGGTCCTTCGCAATGTAAGGACCACGACCACACGTTAAGTTTCGTTGTTGTAGTTGATTTTCTGTATCTACTTGTTCTGTTAGCTGTAGTTGTAGTACTTCATGCCTCACAGTTTGTTGCATAAGTGGTGGTTGTTGTTGTAGTTGTTGTTGTTTTAATATGGAACCATGTGTTTTTTGTTTCAGAGACTGCTCCTGTTGTTGTAATTGTAGTAGATTTCTACGACCACGTTCTCGTAAATATTTTGTACTACGATTGTTCGCATAGTTTACAAATGAGGTTGATAGAGAGGATGATGATAATGATGTTGAAGAAGTTGTTGCTGATGACGAGGCTCTAACTTCTTTAAGGTGTTCTTTCTGCTGCTGCTGTTGTTGTAGCTGTTGTCTTGTTTTATTATTAGAGGCGTATTGCAGTGTTGTGGTTGTTGTTGGTTTTATCGTTGTTGTGGTCTCTAAGGCAGGCATTTCATAATTTTTATAATATTTATCCTTTTGTTGTAAATTTTGCTCCTTAACCTGCTTTTCTTCCTGGTATTCAGATCTAACTTGTAATTCTTGTTCATGTTGCTGTTGTTGCATAGTATTATGACAACAGCTGCTACTACTTGTAGTAGTAGTACTATTACAACTGCTACTCATGCCAGTCATTTTACAAACACACTCCTCCTGTTGGCTACAACTCTTGGCTGGTGTAGTCAGTTTGGGAGTATTACTGCAACAAGGTCTGCTACTACTACCACTACTACTGCTGTTGTTGTTTTTGTTGTTGTTAATGTTAGTGCTATTCGAATTTATAGCATTATTATGATTATTACGACTGCTATTCAGACGATTACGGGCCACATGTGTCTGTTGCTGTAATACTATTGCCGCTGCTGCCGTTGTTGTTGATGATGTCGTTGTTGTTGCTGCTATATCTTGTTCATTACCCTTACTTTGAGATGTTTTTGACTGGGCTCGTGTCGTTGTTGTTGCTGTTGTGTTTGTAACAACATTCTTACACGGTTGCAAAAAAGGCGCTAAATATATTAATGTCGCCCTCATTTGTGTTGCCGTCATCGTTGTTGTTGCTGTCGTTCCTTCCAAAGATGTTGTGGCGTGTTTTGAATTCTAAAATAAAAGAAGAAAATAAAAAACAATCGGAGTGTTAAAAAAATACTGCAAAAAGACACACCAAGACATTAAATATAAATAACTTAAAAAATGTTGTAAGAGGAAAAAAATACTCTACTCCTCTTTATTTTAAACTTAAATGAAAAATATATGTACTTGCAACGTTTTTCATTCCAGTTCCCAGAAACGTGTAAAAATATTTGATTGTTGTTCCCCCTGTCATTATTATTTCTTAATCTTTTTTTTTTTTTCTTTTTTTATTTTTTTGCTACAGCTGTGCAAGAAAATTTGTTTTAAAACAGGGGTTGTATTTCTTTCTGTTAAAGTAAGGAATTTTGCGCCTTAATAAGCTATAACCTTAAACATTATAGAATTGATTCTATACCCCATCTCTTATTTCCCCCTCTCCTCTTATATAAATTCAAGTCATATCAAAAATTAAACTGAAAATTATAAATTTAATACATTAAGGAAATTGAAGCAACAATATGGGCCTGGACAAAATTTATAGACTTTTAAGGAAGTTTTCATAAGAAAAAAGTTTTGCTGAAAAAATAAAATCTTCTATAAAACATTTTATAGCAAAATTAGCTTTAAATTTCAGAAATTGCAAACATTTTGGGGACTAAAAGACAGTGGTACCAAAAAGAGAATGCTATTAACTTATATTGCTGCAAGTTTTCAGCACACAAAATGTTGTTGCTGACTTTTTGAATTTCGTGCAGAACGTGTGAGGACATCGGTAGTTCTCACAAGTACTGATATTCGTTACCCGAATCTATATTAGGTTCTTCCTTGAATAGAGCTGTGGTGTTCCGAAAGAAATTGTTTAATTAAAAGCAAAATTAATTAACAAGTTTCAAGTTTCTACCTTTCGGATTACTTGGAGACACTTAAGTGGCGATTAATTATTTATTCTTTGCATTGCAAAAAGTACATTCGTCACGAATGAACATATACATTGACTCAGGCATTAGCACTCTAGTCTAGTCTATAGTCTAGTCTATTGTTTAGTCTATAGTCTAGTCTATTCTATAGTCTATAGTCTAGTCTATAGTGTAGTCTATAGTCTAGTCTATAGTCTAGTCTATAGTCTAGTCTATAGTCTAGTCTAGTCTATAGTCTAGTCTAGTCTAGTCTATAGTCTAGTCTATAAATTTTATTACTTTTCTTAAAAAAAAAAAAAAAAAACACTTCAGAAAAAAATATCCAATTTCACTACAATTTAAACTCCTACAACAAATTCTCAACATTAAACACGTAAAAATAAATTGTCAAAAGAATATTTAAAAACAAGCCATAGAAAAAACACACTCCCTAAACACTCTAAATGCAAACAACCAACTGATGATCTGTGACAATTTTACGCCTTTAAATTTTTGAAAAATTTTCATATAAAACTAACAACAACAATTCCCTTTTCCAAAAATATATATTATAATCGGAAAAAGCGAAATATTATAAAGACATGTAAATAAATTTTAACGCATTAAAATGCAGTAAAATATTCTTCTTTTAAACATTTAAGACAAGCATAAATCAAAAAATAAAAAAAAAAAAATTATAACGTAAAACTTCAACGCCATTAATAGCGAAAGAAAATAAAAAAATTAAAACAAAATTTATTAACAAACCAGGCAAAAGAAAAAAAAAAAGAAATTGTTTCCCCTCTTTTGGAAAAAATTTTATAAAAATTAAATTGTTGAAAGAAAATACTCCCGAAAAAAGTTCAGTATGGCCAAAGCTGCATTTTTCCCAAAACTAAATTAATTGGAATTTAATTTTTTTATTTTACAATTTATTACTTTATACACACAACCATTTCCACACTTCATAATTTTTTATTTCTTTTTGGATTTTTTTGTTTTTGGGAGGGGGACAGTCCGAGTTTACAGACCATGTGTCAATAGTTTTATAAACGATTTTATTTTAACTCTAGAGGAGCCTATGGAATACTACTTGATTGTTTAAATGATTTTTTTTTTGTAGTGATGATTGTGTTGTAACGCAATTTTGTAAAAGTGATTATTTATCTGTGAATGAAAAAAAAAAACTTGTAAATTCCGTTTGTGTGCCGTATTTGATTAATGGTCAGTCCTACTTTACAGTGTAGATGTCACCTTTTTCATGAGATGTCATTATTTAAGCCATACTGAACACAATTGGGGCAACGGGCGTTCATTTGTAATGTTGTGTTATTTTGCTGGGCAAATTTTTTTTTTTGGCAGCTGTCAAGTATATTTATTGTCAAATTTTTGTTATTTGAAACGATTTCAAAGTAAAACTATTAAATTTTTTTAGTATTTCCACTAGAATTTTCAACTATTACAAAAAAAACATGTTAAAGGTCCGTTAAAACTATAACAGGAAGAATAGTACTCATTAAATCAGCTTTAAACCATCCATGTGACCTAATTTCTTCTTTTTTAGCAAACATTAGGTTGAAAATCTATAAAAATTTAAAAATACTTCTGTATTGTTTTCTCAAAGGTTAATTTTGAATCCTTTAATTTCTCATGTGGAAAAGGAGGCATATTATTCATTAATATTTAGGATATTATATCCTCTCTTTTATTTCTAAAAAGTAGACAAAACAAGTGTAGAGTTTAAGATTCTCGTTAGAATCCAAGTATCTTTAACAGTCCGGTTGTAATCCTATAAAAGCGTTGCGAAAATCTTTAAACATGAAGTCCTATCACCAAAATTCTCCTCGGAAATATGGTTGGAAGAGAAGCTGGGGTTCAACTTCAGCTTCTCTTCCAAACAGCAGTTCTCGACAAAATTGTGGGGCTTAAGCTCCAATTTGCAGGCTGTTTAAGCCAGCCTGGTTGATATTCAACTGCGGTCTCGGCTAAATGGATCAGGGACCCTGGCCCATCATTAAATCCATGGACTGATGCTGAACTTCGAGTCCAACATCACTTGGGCAATACCTAATTGGGGGACAAAGTACAGACCTTTTGGTAAAATACTGAAAGGTTTTAATCGGGTCAGTAAAGGTAATATTCTTGAAATTACTTTTACAATTGATCCAAATAGACAAATTATATATCAATCTATAGAAAATTTGGACTTTTATGCAAAAATATATTCAAACTTTAGTTAAGAATTTTCGTTTAAGACAATAAAAAGTTTTCGAAATTATGTTTCAGGTATGTTTTTCAGTTTGAATCCTTAAATTTCTCTCGTGTAAAGGCCTAATTAGACAAATTATATATCAATGGATAGGAATATGTATGTTCTATGCAAATATATAGAACTTGTTTTATTAGTTAAAGTTTCACTGAAGATTTTTGTTCAAAAGGTTTTATTGTTAAGAATCTGTTTGAATCCATCAATTTCTCATGTGTAAAAGATAAAATAACCAAATTATATATCAATGGATAGGAAATCGTGAGTTCTTTTTAAAGCTCTAAATAAAGTTTTAATTGTTTAAAATTATACAAAAAACTTTTGTTTAAAAAAAGACATTAATATATCGATATTAAGATTCAGAGTATTGGAAATGTTTCAAACATTTCTTAGTATAAAAGATCGAATAACCATGTTGTATACCAATGAATAGGAAATTGTGGCTTCTTTTAAAATATATAGTTTTTCATTATGTAAAAAGTTTGCTAAAGACTTTTACAGAAAGAAAGCAAAAAGTTGTCCCAATTATGATTATTATTATTTTGGAATCCAATAGTTTGTTTTATTAGGGAGATCAAATAGACATATTATATATCGTTGTATAGGAAATTATGCCTTATTTTCAAAACTGTATAAAATATTTAATAATTACAACTTTTGTAGAAGATTTGCTTAATTCTTACGAAAAATTTTAAAAAATTAGAGTTGTCGTCTTACGACTACAGCTCTATTTAGATCTTTTTTCCTTATATTTTTAGAATACGTGTTCTGATAACAATTATTATTTAAACTTCCCAGAATATTGCCAAATATTATAATAAAAAATACATTTCAAAAATCCCTTATTAACTCTAATTATTTTTAACATTTAACAGTTAATAATAAAAAATCATTACATTTTCCTTTTAACAACAATTTTTTTGCGATAACAATTACGCTGGTAACATTTAATGATTTATTTATAACATTTTTCCCCAAAAAATTCCCATAATTTCGCAATAAATTTTCCTTTTAATATTAACTTCAATATAAGTTTCCTGCCAAAAAAAAAGGTAAAAAGAAAACTTAACATGAAATTACTTTTTCCCGGAACTAATTTCTTTTTTTGTATTTTATGTTTTAATAAAAAGAAGGAAATAAATAAACAAGAAAATACAAATAAATAGAACACATACTCAGGTAAAATGAACAGACATGTGTGTGTCGGTATGAATAATTATTATTAACTTTAGATGATGCTTAAATATTTTACGACTACACAAACCAGCTGGAAGAAAAAAAAAAACGTGTTTGCTAAAATAGTTTTAGTCATCGTTATGAAATGGGCACAAAAATTTTCATAGTTAGAGAAAAGCTACTCCTTTTTTTGGAACACCAAAATATATAAAAATAAAACAAAAATTAACAAACATTTAAAACGACCAAGCGGTAAAAATAGAAAAATATATACTATATACTATGTATGTAGTCCATAAACGACCAACAAACCGACCGAACGACCACCTGACAGTTTGAAAATTTATGTTTGCATGTTTATCTACAATTTATTTCGTACAACGATGATGATGATGATGTGTTTGGTGTTGTTACGGACGAAAAGTGTGCCCTGTGTTGAATGAATGGCTTCTGTGTGTCCTAGAGTGAGAGTGTGTGTGTGGATAAGTGAGTGTTTTCCTTTTCCGTTACACTTTATATTAAAGATACATGGCAGCACACACAAACACACTTATGCAAAAACTGTTGGTTTTTAACTTTGCTACGCTTATACAAACATACATACATACATACACATGTGATAAAAAGGAGTCAATAGACATAAAATACATGCAACACCAAAACACTTTATATTAATAATACATGTACAC